ACGTGGCATGGGTTCAGGATACATGGTCTATCAGTACACAGCCAAGTAATTGTGTACACTCGCACGTGTAGATAGGTGCCTCACTGCAGCCTGTGAGTAGGTGCCAAACTCCCTGAGAGACATGGGGCTTAGCAAACACCCTTCTCCTTGGAATCTCCAGCTGACCTATATTATTGGGCTCTATGCCTAGGATACTTGATTTGGTGAATACCATTCTTAGGTTCCTTAGTGAACATTTTGGCTTTAACCTCAGTGGGAGCAGAAGCAAATCGTTAACAAACAAACAAACAAATAAAACCTTAACTAAATTACAAGAGTATTTAGTGCTTAAGGTCCCAGTACAACAAGGGACTTAACCATGCGCCTATATTAATCACATGAGTAGTCCCATTAGCTTCACTGAGATTACTCATGTGTTTAAAGTTAGGCATTAAGAGCCTTACTGAATCAGGGCCTGAAGCAGGGGTTTGAGAGTCAGGGTACCCAGGTTCTAATTTCTGTCTCTGCCACTTTCTTGCTGAATCACCTCAGCAAGTCACTTAACTGTTCTGTGCCTCAGTTTACCCTTCTGTAAAATGGGTATAATAATACCTGCTTCACATAAGTGTTTTGAGAATTAATGTGTGTAAAGAGAATGAAAAATGCTATATAAATGCTAAATATTAAATTTAGCGAATAGTGGAAAATCTAGATAATGTGGTACCTTCTATACACATACACACACTAGCACTGGCCATAAAAACCTCCCTTTTCCAGGTTTACATCTACAAAGGTACAGGTGGGAATTAAACTCACAAGTGCCACACAAATAAAGCATTAATGCTGAAAGTTTAGTCCTAGCCCCATCAGACTGTGATTAGATCTAAACTTATCCAAGGGAGGGTCTGATCACATAGGCTCTGAATGATTCCCTTTCCCCACTGCCATCTCCCACTCCCAAACTCACACTGTTTGGAGATCTTTCCAATACAACCCAAAGAATTTCAGCCCTCATTCTCATTTTCAGGGCTTTTTGGATGAAATTATTAAAGTAAAAGTTAACTTTTCTTGGCATTTAATACAATACAAGAAATAAATTTCAAATTATTTGAAGGGCAGATTTAATGACAAAGGGCAAATATACATCACTAAGACTTTGTTAAGTCTGATGTACCCTCACAACCAACCTACCACTAATATATGTGCTATTCCAAATCCTGTAAAGACAAAAAAAGTCTTCTTACTGTGTGGATGAACTGAAAGCTATTTCATTCTGTTGTGTGAGAAATGTACTAATTAAAAGTCTTTAATAGTCAGACATGAACACATAGTAAAATTTATTTTAAAATTATGCTCATAAAAGTTAAAAGAAAATGTTTGTATGATTTATTTGGTTGTCTTTTAATTGACTACAGATAAAGTAGGTGACTGCTGAAATGTATTCTTTCAATCAGAATATCTGAAGTCCAACCTCTTATTAGCTTAATATTTAAAATTGCTTGAGATAGCTACAGATAATTAATTGCTACTATTTATTTTAAAAAATATATTATTATTTAAAGAACAGGCTATCTGCCCAGTTGCAATTTTGCATGCTTGCCTGGGAAAAAGTAGGTGACATAAATCACATGCATAATCTCAGGAGACAATCATTTTAAATCTTAATTGGCTGCCTTTTAAATATCATTTAAGGTCTCGTTTTCTCTGCCTCTCTCTCTCTAGTTAAGAAGGTGTTGTGTCAAAGTCTATTACCTTGCTGGACGTCTCTCCCTTAAGTTTTTTAAAAAATAGAACCATCAGCAGAGGTTTGAGAGGTCGATAAAGCTTTTAGATTTGGAGATGTTTTCAGGGAGCCCATTTCCTGCGGCTAAGAGTTGTTAATGGAGCTTAAGGAATTATCTTATGACTCGGGCTAGGAGAGCCGTATATTTCTTCGCTCCTGTTCCCTTGTCGAGGCTGAATATGCTGCTGTCAAACTCGCTTAATGAAAAGTAACGCGTCGCTGATTACAGTTTTATTTGGGCTCTATGTAAAAAGCACTGTTAATTTAGCATCCCCTCCTTTGTGTGTTTGAATTTGCCATGGCTGAATGATTTAGAGTCTCTCAGTTTCAGACCGTTTTCTCCATGTTTTTTTCTTTCTTCTCCCTTCTTTTTGATCTCCTCTTATATTTCTGCTTTGTATATCTATCCAAGTGATATGGCTTTCTTTCTTAGCGCTTTCCTCCCCGCCACCCAAGCCAAGGAACAGTTGAAAGTGATCTTTGACTTGTGCTATTGGATCAAATAGCAAAGATTAATTTCTCATAATCTTTTGTTCACACTTTATGGATGCTTTTGAATGATCTGTTATGCCTGACCGCTAATCTTTAGACAAGGATAAAAAAACACCCCAAAACAAAATTCTGATTTCATACAAAGAGCATCCTATATACCTGTAGCCTACCGCAATCAGGTCCTGTTAGATAGCGGGTACAAACTTATTCGAACTTGTTTTACGATAGTAACATAGCATTAAGGGGTAAAGTAAAGTATTTTTCTAATTTATAATATTGGATCGTTTTTGCCTTGAATATAATTTTATTGCCTTTATTTTAAATATTATTTGGGGATTTCTTTCCCCAGATTTGAATGTAAGTCAATATTGTCAGTTATTATCTCCAAGAGCATTTGTTACCATTTTTCAAATGCCTGGCCACGAAATATGTGCAAAAGTGCAAAAGAACTCTATAGAAATCAGACCAATTTTAATGCCATATTGTTGTTTCCTCTGAGGGTAAAATTCCTGTAATTATACACAGAAAGTGTGTTTTGAATAATTTAGCATTCCGTATATGTGTTGATTTTATGTGGTACAGCAGATTTAGAGAAATGCATTATCTGAATTATATTTACTTCATAACTTTGTCTCTACATATGACTTTGTGTTCCTATCATACTCACTTGGCTATCATTGTATTGGATAATTAAATCTTCGGGCCTCCCCCCATACATCCTCAATAACACCGAAGTTGAAATCTGCAGCGAAACGTTAGCATGTACACACGTACTTACATATACAACACGTGTATAGACACCCACGTACATTTTTGCTTTAACATAGCTAGCACAGATGCCAGTATTTTTTCTTATGTGGTGGTTATGCGGATTCCTGTCCCATTTGCTTCTACCGCTGCTTTGATGGCGGAATACTTGCGCCCCCTTTCCTCTCGTCCCTTCTACCTTATTTTGGTTTTTTTAAAAAAATTGCTTTGTCTAAAGGGCTTCACTGGAAAGCTCTCCGGCCGGCCTGCTGCATTAAAATTCCTGCCGGCCCAGCCTCTAGCTGAGAACACTTCTCCCCAGAGACTCCACTTTCGCTATTACTGTCAAGTACCCTTGACTCTTTATTTTTGCCCTTTTATCTATTACAACTAATTCGAGTTCTTTTGCCCTTTTCAGTTTAAGACGTGGCTTTCTGTAAAGCCTCCCCCTGCCACCGAGATCTCTGGGTGCAGAGCCTTTAGAAATTGAGGGGTTTACTGTCAAAATGAAAATTTCACTTCAAATTATCTTGGCTGATGCACGTTTTCCAGGCCGGGGGCTCCTGTCTCAGCCTTTTGACAGCCAGATCAGCAGCGAGGTTCAGTGATCTCGATAATATCATCCAAGAGAGCGAAAGTCAATACAATGACAGGGAATATGACTGGATACAATCCAATTACAGCTGCTTTCAGAGAGGGGAAGGGTTTGATCTATTCCCCACACCCAGATTCCTTTATTCAATTGCTGCACTAACCGGTCTCAAAAGTTTGCGGGCTGGTGTGTTTTATATTTTAACTAGTTGCTGTCTCGAGATTTCTTTACAAACTCCTGGGGGTAGCGCTCCGTTTCATTTCTGGTCTTTGTTTTAATTTTTGGGGGAGGAAGTATGGGAAAGGATGCAGAGTTTTTGCCATGTTCCTACTTCAGTCCCATTATGAGCGTTTAACTCTTGCCCACACCGGTTGATAGGGCTCCTCTGGACTATAAACTCGTATTTTAAGAGGATTATTTTTCTTATTTCTGTCAGGTTTGGTTTATCATTTCTTTATTTTCCCCGGCCTGCGGAACAGAAAGTTTGTTTCGACTCCGGGATTGAAAGGGAAATGTTTAAAACGCTTGCTATTTAACTGGTAAATTGGCAGCGAGACCTCCTGAAGCACACGGAGAACGAGCTCTTTCTCTTGGCTGCACTCTATTTAATGTCAAAACGGTAAAGCATCTGTCCTGAAGTGCTGAAATATTCATGGAGAATCAACGATTCTTCATACTATCAGAGGAGCTTGAAGCTAAAACGGTTCTTTAAAATATCAAATTTTCCATGTGAATCAATTGCTTCGCACTCATAAAAAGAGATTCCCCTGCCACAGCGGCCAACACTGGGTCCCGGGGTGATTTTCCCCAGCCTAGTCTCCAAGATCCCACCTCCCCCTACTCTGTTCTCAGGTTTATAGGGCGGACACTGTCTACCCTCACATTAGTGGGCAGCTGGAGTCTACTTTTTTCTCTCCTCCTTCTGTTTTCTCCCCCTTCATTTCAGCAAATCTAGAGCACAACTACACTTCTCTCTCCTCTCACATCTATCTATCTATCTATCTATCTATCTAATATTGTTTTAAAGGATGAACATTTAACTCCTGTTATTGTTTTTCTTTCCCCCCTCCTTTCCTGGATGACAACTGTCAAACTCAACAAATGTAATGATGGATGGCCCTGTGTTTCTCTAGCAGAGAAGGCTCTTGAGACTGGACATCCATATTCCAGTGTAACACACAGTATTCATTAACAAGGCGTTCTTTAACAGAGTACAACCTGGTAAATGTAGTGTTGTACTTACAAACATAACAATAACTATCTGTTCAAAGGAGAAATCTTAGACCGTTATTTGCTCAAGAATCTCCGAGTTTAGAACATTCTGGATTCCTTTACAGACACAGAAAGAGAAAAAAATAAGGCCCAATGAAAAAGTATCAATATTTCTGATTTAAATAAATTTGTTTGCAGTTATGCTAATGATTTATTGACATTTCATGAACTTTTTCTAGTATTAATGCAATCATCTTGACATTTCTTTAAATTACTAGAACATCTATGAACACACATTCTAAAATTGGAACATATTCATTTTGTAATGCAAAACGCCACCACTAATTTTTACTTCTGAAACAGACAATTTATTGGAGTGAACATACTTTTTTAACATATTTGTCAAGGTAAATTTGTGCAATAGTGTAAACTTGGTATAAGTGCCGTTTGTGAATTATATGGTAACAATGAAATCAGAAGGAAAAAATCTGAGAAGTCTTTATAACTAATATTGGCATGCCTTAAATTAAATATCAGAATTTAAATTTCTCGTTTGTAAACTTTTGGATGTAAACTTTTAAGTACGCCTACACTATAGTACGTGCTTTTAGACATGGAGTTAAATTATTTTCACGACATTGATCCCTTAAATTCGCAGCCAACAGAAATTCTTCAAAACAGCAATGAATAAAGTCTGCCCGTTTAACTAAGCAAACTGAACTTTAAATCCTTATCTTTGTTATTTTTAAAAAATTATATTTAAATTTAAATTCTTCCAAATCTCTTTTCAGTGTATCCCACTCTTCCGGTGTTAGAAAGTTCTTTGCCACTTGGGGTGTTGTTAAGAACAAAACATTTTGCTTCCTGATTTGGGAAATGCAAGAAATTCTTTATTTGAGTCCTGGTGGGATAAGTTTGACAGTTGGCCTTTTAGCACGTTAGTACTGTTTCCAATTGAGCGTCCTAAAGATCCCGTTTCCAGAATGGCTCCTTTGGTGGTAGCCCAGGAAACTGTTGTGTTGCTCAAAGCTTGGTTCAAAGTACTGTGTCTGAATATGGGGTCATGAAACACCCCATCCACCCAGTTCCTGAGATTGGTGACTGGGGAATCCTGATGTCTGTCAATGACACTAACAGGAGCAGAAACTGCAACGGAGGCGGAGACTCCTTGGCGTTTCAGCATGCAGGAAGGATACTCAGTTTGGTTTAGAGAAGTGGCGGTGTGAGCCAGGGACCAAATCCTGGGCTTTGTCTCCAATATTTGTTGCCCCTGCTGGAAACACATTTTGGACTCACAGCTTCTCTGCCTTACATTGATTAAGTCTTGTTCACATTCGTCCACCACATTCTTGAGACAGTTTTTAGCCCTCTCCAGGTCTTCTTCAATGGTGGCCGCTGGGATGGGCGTCTTTAGAGAAGGCTCCTTGCAATGATCAGTAGCACATGTGTCGGCTGCCCTTATCTGGCTGCTCTCCAGGTGCTGGAAGGGCTGTTTCAATTCGCATTCTGAACTCTCTGACTCAATGGGGTCAAAGTCATCCAAATCACTCAGTTCCAGCTCTTTTTCTTCTTTGCTGGTGGCCTCTGCAGGAATGGGAAAACAGTAAAGCATACGGAATAAATAGCATCACAGTGTTTCTTTAAAATAATACCATCTCTAAAGATCCGGAGTACTGTTTAAAAGGGCGTTTCTAATAAAGAATACAACTGCAATTCTGTATGTATGTTTCTAGGCTATGTGCAATTCATAAGTATATCCTACCCACTCATGCAACAACACTCATGATAAAAATAGTCAAAAGGGAAACTGAAAACTGATCTGGCTACTCTAGAATTTTGCTTGTTAATTGTAAATGTATATTTAATAAGATACCATCGTTTTTCTCGTTCTTCATATTGTCTTCCTGTGACTCTTCCTCCCCTTCCTCTTCGTAGGATCTCTTCTCATCGGAACATTTGTTCCTTGGAGGCCAGGTCATCTTGTTCTCCTTCTTGAGCCTCCTCCGGGCATTGGCAAACCAGGTGGAGACCTGGGTGAGGGTCATCTTGGTGATGATGGCCAGCATGATCTTCTCGCCCTTGGTGGGGTAGGGGTTCTTCCTGTGCTCCTGCAGCCATGCCTTCAGTGTACTGGTGGTTTCACGAGTAGCGTTTTTTCTTCGGGTGCCTCCGTCCATGGTGCCATATCTGTAGTTCACAAGACATATATGACACCATATGTAGATCATGTCAAAGATACAGCGAGGTGGCCTTTGGGCACCTGATCCAAAGCCCACTGAAGCCAAAGGAAAGATATATGGAGTTTGGACCAGGTGCTAGGAGAGGTTAACTGTACCTTCTTCTAGCAGTAATCAGTGTCGGAGGAATACTGTACCAAAACCTGAGGGGGCCGTAAAAGGCTTTTAGTAATCATTTACCGCAACAATTCAGTGGTTAGAAAGAAGCAATGATAACATATAATTTTAAAATGAGAAATACTGGGCATAAGAAATGTTTTAATTCAATTGTACAATAACCTTTGAAGAATAAATAGAAAAGAAAATGTCTATTTTTATCCAAGTAAATTGCAAAGTCCATTTTAACAACTTGTGTGACAGAAACATCTTAGAAACGCACAGACCCGCACACAAAAGTTCTGCTTTTCAGCTGTTTGATAAATCCTGCTCAGATAAAATACATTTAAGTAACCTCAGGGTGTAACTGTTAACAGAAATATATTTCCTCCTTATTCCTTTTATTAGTAATCTCTCCTACCCTTTTGTTCCTGAAATTGTAAAAACGTGACGCAGAAGACACTGGACTGCACCTGAATATTTAATGCACATCATCCAGGAAAGGTCATCGGCACCCAGTGGGCTTAAAAGGTTGAGATGGTTTAAGTGGTTTTGTGCTGTTTTAAAACTAATAAACATACAGAAGATAAAAGGACTGTTCAATTTAACACAATACAAGAAAAGCTAATTAATAAAAAATTGGCTAGTGGAAAGTATAGCTCCTTGAAAAGTAAAGGACCATATGCTGGGTTGGGAGAACAATTTGTTTAAACATATACTTAGAAAAAGTTTCTATAAAATATTATGAGAGACCCAAGATAAATTGGTATGATCGCTTCAAGTACTCCCAAGATAGTTAGGCCTCATTGAGTTTTTCAAAGTTACTCCCATTTGTTAAAACATTCAGTTTACTATAGTAGAATAATGAAATTAATTGAATTACATGTCGAAAAGGGGGACGCAGGGTATTTGATAATAGTTTGCTAAAGTCAGGGGTCAGGCACAGGGTTACTGATGTAGCCCCACAACACTGCTCAGTGCTGACAAACACAAATTTGTGGGTATTTAGCCAGTCCCCCTCTCCACCGCCTCTCCCCCCATGTTTAATTTAGAGATTTAGTGTTAACATTCAGAATAAAGCTTTGGTTTTTACTACACTGTTTGAGCAGCCTGCCCAATAGGTCCCTCTTCAGTCTCCAGGTAATATACAAATGTAAGGTTTGTCAAAGGAGAAATGTAGGCTTCCATTTTGTCTAATTATTTATTTGCCTGTCTTACCTTGATTAATAATTCATTGCTAAAAGGACACAGTGTTTCACTGTTTAAAATGTCTCTTGCTTAGGAAAAATCGCTCGTCGTTACGTCTGTTTAATTGTTTGTTTCTTACCTGTCATATTGATACTGACTGAGTGTGTGATCGTAGGGATAGTAGGCAGCCGCCTGGGTAATGCCCGCATGCGCAGATCCACTCCCATCCTTCGCGTCGAAACTGTTCTGTAACACAAAATCGAGTGTGTCCTTTCACCAATTCCCACCCCCAGCCAGCCGCCCCGTCTCTCGCCTTAGAAGTGGTTAAGGGAAGTGAATTGGTTTGTTACATTTATGGTAAAATGTAAAACAAATGTTACAATGTTGCTATGGAATATATTGTTTTCCACAGCAGTGTTTGGTTCCAAAACAATTGCCTCGTATTTGACTACAATAAGGAACCTGTTTCCCTTCTTATTAAAAAGTATTCTCCTAACCGAAATAACTAGCAAAAGCTTAATTCATAGTTCCCTTCTCTACAGAACCGAGAGCACATTAAATTTATTAACATTATAAAACAATGACCTAGAAAGTGACAACAAGCGTTTAAACTTTTAATGACATCTTAGCTATTCACAACTATCGCCTTTAATTAATCAGAAATACAATGTGCAAAGGAAATGAAAGATGAATGGCAACTTTACTGCTGTGGTCTTACAGTAAGATATGTTTTGGCTGTAGCAAAGGTCTAGAATTTCAGCAGCCAGTGAAATCAATACACACATTAACCCATGCTATAATGATGCCAAAGAAAAAGCTCATTCCAAGGTATATCGATTGTTCTGCACCTCTGTATATGCAACTTTGAACTACCAACATAGCTATATCGTTCATTCCAGTGTCGTTCATCAGTTTCACAGAACTGTCTTTTAACTGTAGTATCATATAACTGTTAAGCATACTTATAATTAGAGAGAGAGCTAAAAAGGCAGAGCTATGCGTCGATAGTCAGAAAATAGGCTTACGTAAAGAACTACATGTATTTAGGTATTTAGTAGAACTATTTAAAGTGGTCTCTGTCCTGAAAACATGACTGACTTAGTATAGCAATCTAAACATAACAGCACGTGAATTTTAGTCTTAGTGAACTGTTCCAATTCAGAAGAGAGGGGAGAACACAGATTTCCTCTAGGGAGGACTCTAACACGCAAGCCAAACAGCGAGAAGATATGTTTTCGTTTATCTTTTGAGCTGGGATTTGTTTTACTAATGAGTGACAAGAAGATTCTAGGATTGCTTACCAAAGAATAGAAGGCAGAGGCTTCAGTACCATAGGTAACGTAGTTTCCATAGCCCTGGGTACTTGTGTAAGGATTTCCATAGACTCCTAAAGCAGCTGCAGAATTGAGCTCATGTCTGGCTGTGGCTAACAGCCTGCTTTCGTATACAGGACAATAGACTGGGGTCTGAGCCGAGGCTGAAGCGCCTGAATCTGTCAGAGTCCTGCCACTAGACTCACAGCAAGTTGTCAGGGAATTGGTGGTCATCAGGAACTAAGGGAAAGGAAGAAAACTTTTTAAAACCTGCAGCTAAGTTTTGACATTTGTTTCCTTTAAAGGCAGAGGAAATGAAGGTTTCGGGAAATGTACAGATTAGATATTTTACCAGTTAAAAAAGGAAGACAAAACTCTTAAGTGTTTAATGAAAATCTCTACAAGGGGGTGGCTACGTCAGGTTTTCAAGATGCTTATATTAAATGCTTTTAAAAGTAACTTTTATAATGGGTTGTACAAAGTGTTGACATCATTTGTCTTCACTTGCAGCACAATGCTCCCCATCTGCGTTTTTAAACCTTTTTTTTCTAAATCACTCATGCATATTTATTTTGACTGCAGATTTGTAACAGCCCTACATACATCTATTATTAACCTGCGGGTTTCAAATATCCCATTATGTTTCTACAATAGATAGTTCAGTAACTTCCCTTTTAAGTGTGTAAATAGTAAACCTAATCCGGAAGATAAAATATTATTCTTGGAGGGTTTCCATCCCCCTTTTCCTTTCGTCTCGCCTCCCCCGCCCCCACCCAGAACACCCTAAATACTGTATGCTCCTTTCATTTTACAAATATGAACACAAACTTAAATATTTTATAAACAGACTGAGTGCGTAACCAATTTAACGCTTTCACGTACTATAAAGGAACACTGCAGCTTTTAAGCACTGAACGGTAGAAATCAATAATGACTGAAATTCAATCAATTAACGTTTGCGGACAATAGAGTCTTACCTGGGGTGCAGAAGAGTAAGGGTATCCAAACTGAGGATATGACATGGTACAGAGGCTCCCAGTTATCTAGAAACAAGGAGAGACGTCTGATCTGCACGCTATTGCAGCCTTGCTCTGCTCTATTGTACCAATTGATTGGTAACCACAGGTTCCTAGATGCTTATAGGACGAAGCAGAATACCATATTTAATTTACCTGCATGAATCTTAAACTTTTTTTTAACTAAAAAGATGTATAATGAATGTAGCATTTTTTCTACCTCTACAAACTAGAAGTAATTTCTACACGTGGACTCAGAGATTGACAAACGTGGCGACAGAAATAAATATTTTGCACACACGAAAAAAAGAACATAAAAGAAAAGTAGTTCAAAACAGGTCAACTCAGATACACGTTTTATAAACAGCAGAGACTCTGACGTTACATTAAGCTTACTCAATTTGACCCGTTTGCAAGTTTAACATTCATTTTGGTAGGTTTGAGTTTGTGTTAAGAATATACAAAGCAGAGTTTGGAGAGCACTCAAACATCAGATACTTGAATTTATAGTACTTTAATATGGTTATGTAGGACGACTATGAATGGTTTTGATCTCAAGAATCAATATTACACCAACTAAGATTTTCCCCCTTAGTCACTGAAGGATGGCAAACCCTTTTAATTAGAAATTAATTAATGAGCAGCTGCTTCTTCCCACCCCACCACAATAATTAGTCTCAATTACAAACGAGACATATGAAGAGACACACGAGTGAGTCTTCATTTAAGATTTAATCAACAGTTAAAATTAGCAGTAACACTGACAATAAACCACATGGCACGCAGTTTTGGGTTTTTTTGCATCCTTTAGTCCAGATGCGCGATTAAATTTAAAAACACTATAAATATACGTTCCAGGCAATGACTGAAGACATGGGTGTTCACCTTGAAAAGAATTTGATCACAGTATCAATATTTGTAATTGTGTTAGAAAAGTCAACTTTTACCTTCTTTAGGGTCCAATCCTGCTTTACTCATGCATTGAAGTGAATGGGACAGTAAGGTGCTGAGAGAATGCAGGATCGGACTCGGACAATGATAGTTTATGTTGTTGGCTGGCGAATTTATCAAAGAACAGTTTGTCTTTATGGGTTACAAAAATTATTTAAAATGTATAGTCAGCAGCTTTTTACCCGATATTCTGGGAAAACTCACACTCATAGAACTCTTGATATCACCTCAACTCTGCCTTTTGAGATTAGTTATTAAAATAGCTTTCTTCGGTGTTTTAGACTCTGTTTGAAGCGTAGCATCCCCCCTTCAGAGGCGGGTAACCTAGATGATATAATTTAAACATTATTGTTTGTGTGAGCATGGCAGATCAAACAATTTTACAAATCAAGGGCCTAATCCTATCCCCACTGAAGCCAATGGTAAAACTTCCATTGATTTCAATGGTATCAGGATCAGTCCCTTCATTATTTTCAAGCGCTTTTAGACTGTATTTCGTTAATCTCAATAGCTCCCCCACTACGGATCTGGAGCAGAAAGAGTCCGTTTATACATGAGAAGTGTTTTAAATCGGTCTGTGGAGCCAAATTCCTCAGTTTCGCTCCTGAGATTATACTCCCATTTGATAGTTGGCGTGTTGCTTGAGTGGGGATGAAAGGCCCAATTCCACTTGCGGCTGACCATCCCCAACTCACGCTGATTTAGGTAGGAACTGGGGTACCTTCAGCACCGGGCTCCGGGTACCAGGACTGCAGGAGCTGGTCTGAACCGAAAGGCAAAAGGCAGAACCATTTTACCCGCTCTGTGCAGCGCTGCAGTTTCTGACACTGCCCTACAGTTCTAATAATCCTGTTTGTGAAACTTTATTGTTGAAAGCCCATGCAGAAGAGACTTGTTTACTTTTGACATACTTCTGTCATGGTAAATAAACAGGGGGAAGTAATCTCCTTTCAGAATACCGAATTCCCATGATCTGTACAAACTCCTCGATTTACCCAGGCTCCCAGTTCCGTCCTTTTTGTGGGTGTATAACGGCATCGCAGAGCAGCTAATGTGACATTGGGCTGTCGTCACCATAGGCTATCTTCTCTAGGAAAGTGACCTCTGCTGTGGCGGTAGTAATTGTCAATAATTTATAGGGAGTAAACTGCTAAAACTACAACAAATTGCCAGTGTAATGTGGCAGCAAGTTAGCCAGGCATCCGTGAGCCTTTTGGAGGAACTAGAGAACAGCTCATTGCGCTTGAGCCGTGGCTGATGGTGCAGTGGCGTGCTGCTCCATGGTGTGCAGACTTGCTCGGAGAGATTCCTGGGTTCAGACATGTGAATAGCCCCAGGGTCACACTCTAATTAATGATGATGTTCTCTTCTTCTCCCCAGCTAGAAGACTGCCTCCCAGAAACGAATCTGCCCACTCTGACAGCTCGATTGAGGGTGATTGATGACTATCTGGAGACCACAGTACACATAATACAATATCTGCTGCGTAATTGCTTTAATTTACAGATGAAAATACTAGTTCTAGGATTGGGTTAGACTATAACAAGCGGTGTCCTACGGCATCGTAAATAGTTCCCAAATAACAAATAGATACAGTACATGCAAATTATTCAGACAGTTTAGTGTCTGTAGCCGGGAGAAATGCGTAAAGAACAGGAGTCAAATGACATTAATAATTGTTTTTGAATTCCGTATTGATTTCTTGGGAGAGTGTGTTTATTCCTTTCTCACCTGCAATGCTAATATCACCTTCTTTCTGTGAATAATAATAAACTAGCCATTGGGGCTTATGCTACAATGAAACTCTCACTTATTTTTTCCAGTTACTCAGCGTTTCCAGAACACAATGCTACTTTTAGTTATTTATTAAGCAGATATCATAATGTATAACCTTCTGGAGGATTTTGTGAAAAAATAATTGAGAAAATCCACAAATGTATAAAAATGATCTTCCTTAAGAGATGTGCACTGCTTTTGCTTACATAAACACTGGAACATTATGCACTGGTGCTGGGGAGGAAAACAGCTGCACTTATCTCAAGAGTGGCTCAGTGCAAAGCACTGTAATTAGCTGATAGAGCTGGAGAACTGTTTTGAGAAGCTGTAGCACAATCTTACAGTTTTTCAAACTGCATGTCTTGTCTTTTTCTTTTGATACTACTCCAGACGTCAACCCAGCAGTGACACCCATAACACAGCAGGATTGATATTTAGATGAGTCGATTAATCTTTACAATACAAGACCAGATTCAATATTTATATTCCTTGTCTATTTATATGTCTACAGTGTCTTTCACTACCCTGTATCAGGCAAATCCACTGATATCCGGTTTTCTGCATTGAAGGTTCCCTTATTAATCACTGTAATAATTTGTCATTTTTTTCTAGTCTGCCTGTTATATTACTTTACCCTAACTGCGCATTATACCAGAACCAATCGGTACTCCCAAGAAAACTGTCTTTAATTTTTTAAAATAATTTACATCATAAAACGGACATTACCTTGACACAAAGTGTTGCTCTCTTGTCACTTACAGTCTACAAATAATGGTTCTTTGTTGATGAGAAACTCAACGAAGTTATATTTCATCACGAATTTCTAGTGCCAGAGCACAAACATGCAATAAGTCCCGCAATGATTTAAAAGCTTTGTGGCTCCTGCACATGAACAACATAACATTGTTCAAATCCAAGTAAAGACGATTAATGCTGTGGGCTATATCCTCAAGCATTTGGAAAATGCAAGCATTTGGTATGTAATAAAAAAATATTCTTGCCAAGCCCCTTTCTTGTACAAAAGAGTTAACAGCACTTGAGCAAAATAACCAACGGGAGCTATTTGCTAAGTTAAAGAAAGTAAAACCGTCTAAATCAACATGAAGTGCTGTAGAGTTTCCCAATATAAAACCTGCAAACACAAACATATCTTTGAGAGCCAAAGCTTAATGAAGTATGTCTTAAAGGGTTACTACAAACTGGTTGATTTTTCTTCTTCTCAAAGAAACTGGAGCCAATGTTCAGACAAGTTTTATTATGAAAACATGAAACAAGAAGGAAACATCGTGATATCTGAACAGGCCACAGCAGGTAAAACAGGGAAGCTCTTCTAAGGCTAAGGCTTTGATGGACGTCTTCAGGGACGCGATCTAGCTGCGGTTATACAGCTACAGCTTCACTGGATATATGCCCATTTTCTTCTGCTTTGGAGGTGTCATTGCCTCGCCATGAAATATTTCTTGGCGACGGTATATATTTATGGGCTAAATAGACGTTAGTACGATCTTTCGGTCGCGTTTGCTTTGTTTTCAAGTTAATGATTTAAACAGCCTTGACTCACTGTCTGACAAAGGTTGTGAAGCTTAACGTGTTGCCCACGTTTGGGATCTGACATGGAACTGAGGGCAGACTGCAACATTTTCAAGTGAAATAGCTCCCATAAAGTCAATATTGACATTAAATACATAAATTTTGAAAAAAGTGTATCTGAAGTATAATTACATATACTGCAGTCTAAATCAAGGGACAGTGAGTTTTTCATATCTCTTGTACATGCATATCTATAAGCCTCACTATGATCTAGAGTTATGATGATGACATACACAATGATTGCCTAAAAGGGCATCTCTGATATTAATTTACCCAGGTTACAACTACATGTAAAATCAGTTGCTAAAACGTATCCACTTGGAACACTTTTATTTATAGTTTTTACTTAAATCCTCTTGACAATCTAGATTAATGCAAGAAGGATCACATTCTCACACTAGTCTTTGTATTTATTAACTTTTAACACTTAAGAACTCGAGCCAAGATACACACACGCAAGTTTTCAGCATCCAGGAGCAGCTGAAACAGAACATAGGCACTCGCTGAACGGTTAGGTGGACACCATTGTACAATAACATTTCTATGCTCTGTAGATTGCGCAGACTACAGCCACTATTTCATTAGCAAAGCGAAGATCATACAAGATTTTTCTTTTCAATTTCCAAAGTGCCGCAGGTTCCTAGGCATTCAAACGCTTCCTCCTTTCCCTCTTCGAGCCGTTGGCAATGAACAGCTTTGCAATACTTCTATGTGCAGATCAAACTTTCTTACTGCAAGATCAAATTCGATTCCTTTCAAAGTTTGATATAAAATCCAGAAATTTTAACTCAGTACCCTACCTTAATATACGCTAATATCCACACCCCTTTCCCAAGAAATAACATGCAGGGTAGATTATATTTGTACTCTGTCCTAGGTAAAGACTGCACAAAGCCAAATGATTTATCACAGGTAGTTTCTCTTCTCCCTAGCAGTTAGTTTTCAGCTGGCTTGCTGGTGAAGCAGGCTCTGAGGGGAAAAAGAAGAAGAAAAAAAAGCCCTATCATCAAAACAAGCAGAAGGTTTCTTTACCTGAGATCACGCCAGGCTTCGACTAAAATCTTCTAGCGAGAGGTTTTCCATGGCAGGGGATCTCGTCTCTTGTCTGCAGTGACTCACTTTGCAGAGAGCTATAGAGAACTAATGTAGACATTTCTCAGTGTATAATACCTGACTGGAGTGGAATAGTGCTTTCAGTCCCTAGGCGCCACAATCACTTCACTAACCCCCTGTACTAGAGTGACGTTCAAGTGAATAGCTTCACTGATCACACTCTTTCCTACTGATTAACACTTTCCAACACGACCAGACACTCAAGTTTCAACTTTTCCTTTGAAAACGGATACAAGCATTCCTTGATTCCTCGGGTTATAAAAGCTGCTTATGGCGAGGGGGACACCATAATTAATAGCAGGTTAGTAAAATTAGTTCTGCCACTCCAAATGTTGTCCTTGATCCAAACAATAATTGCATTGATTCTGAAAGGACACGAATGTCCTCCATTTAACCTAATGATCTGCAGGTTGTACACGCTGTAAGGCAACCATCTACCAGAGATTTGATTAACTGCGCACACATCCAAACTATAGTTTATCTGTACAAGTAAAGATTGCAAGACGCTAAACCTACAGACATCTCTCTTTTTTTGTCTCCCTCTCTTTTGATGAGAGGTCTTAAAGGCAATCGTTACCTGTGCAAGTAGGGAATGTGTGCCTGGACCTCTTCAGCTACTGGCCTTAATTTTTTCCATAATTGCTTGGTCAGTATTGTGGATCTCAGGTACTATGAACTGCAGCAGCAATTCCCCAGCTACACATGGACGGTGAAAACCACCTTCCTTCAGTTCACCTCCTCTGTCCAGTTTGGATCCATAAAAGATAGACAATGGTCACATTCAGAACGTTTCAGTTCGGTAGTATCCTGCAATGCCTCTCATCAGTTGAAGATCCTTGGCAGTCTTTTATTAGAAGCCCGATCCTCTCCCCTTTGAAACCAATGGCAAAACTCCCATTGATTTCAAGGGGAGCAGAATCTTAGCAGTGGGACCAAAGCTACGGAAGTTCCAGCTCCAGCAGATTTAGAAGGGAATGCTATGTGCTCATCTAGTGTTTTCCTATTCTTGTTTGTCCTAAAGTCTCCAGCGATGGGCAACAGCATACTGGGATTCTAAGGAGAAATCCATTGGGGTGACCCATTAAAGTCGAGGTTACTCGACTGTGAACTTGCTACACACAAATAGGGCTGGGGTACTGCCAGTTGTCACCGGTATCATGGTGTTAAAGTAACATGTAGGCTAATGACTTTTTACCACAGGCTGGAGTGATCAACTATGCCGCACCAGAAATCTTTCAGGTTCCTGCCTATTGCTGCAGGGCAATCCCAAGGAAACTTAGCTGATATATATTGCAACTCTGCTGTGGCATGCTATATCTTAAGTTTTACCTCAGAACCGCACCTTCTTTCCTTGGTCGTTCAACAGTGTAAGAACAACTCAAGACTGTCAGAAAGGTGTTTGTCTGGGGGGATCAATATAATTTGTGTTTAAATATATAAGCTATAGCAGATGTCTCAAGAGGACAGAAGTGGAGAAAAATGCTTTAGCCTTAAGAAATAATACCCGCGTGTATCATACCAAATTATCTGAGAATGGGAGGGGAGTGGGGATGAGAGTCTGAAAAAGGGGAGAGAAAACCCATTTTTAATCTAATATCTTCCTATATCAGAGGGGTAGCCTTGTTAGTCTGAATCTGTAAAAAGCAACAGAGGGTCCTGTGGCACCTTTGAGACTAACAGAAGTACTGGGAGCATAAGCTTTCGTGGGTAAGAAGCTCAATTCTTCAGGGGCAAGAAGTGCACCTACTGGATCTGCACTAGGGAGGTTCT